GTAAAATTTCAAGTGTTCTTTCTGTTTATTCCTCTTCATTTTATTACATTTTTCAGTGCGATTCACGCGGCATGGAAGCACACGCATTACAAATAATTTCTAAGAAAATGACTGGTGAGTGATCGCTCTTTGCTCGCATTCACATCGAAACAGATAACCTTCATGTAATTCTAAACCACAGGATATGAATTTCAAATTTATTTTCTTAAGAAAATTTGATCTCAAAAATAAATCAAACTTTGAAGGCAAATAATTAATTGAAAAGTATGTATATATAAGCGTCGAAGCTTATCTTGAATAGCCGCTATATCAAAGAGTTTTATATCCATTAGATGCTTATCAGTAAGTCGTTTAAAACAGTTTCCCTTGCAATTTCAGATCGGTAGCTGTTACGTCATACACTCCATCAAGGTACGATAATAGTCTACTTGTTGGAAGTTCGGAAGGAGAAATGACTGACTTTGGAAGTTGCTTGGGTTCATTCGTCCAATGCAAATTTGGCAAAGTCCAGGGGCCGGGTTAAGGTTCGCAATACCGAGTACGCTCCGTCTTGTGAACTCAGGACTCGTTGTGACGAGTGGGGAGTTTACGTAAAGTGCGCATTTTTATAACCCACAACTCACTTGTTGTACATGTGAATGCGTTAAGTTTATGCGGATACCTGCAACACACAGACGAAGGACTTGAGATACATCCAAGTTTTATAATAGCGATCGGTTCAGAATTACTCTCTGACTTGATCTAAGCATGTCTGTCCGTCCTTCGGTCTTGTTTTCGTGTGTTCACCCTCTAGGCCGGATGAAATTTGATACACTCCAAAACGTTTTGACCCAAGCGCGAACGCTATTGAATATGGTTCGGATCGAATCGCTTTTTCGATCACTTCCTATGTAAGGCTTTATTTCGAAAAGTCGTTATATGAATAAATGGAATCTATAGTGTTTTCATGTTCGCACGCGGCTCTGTACGGACTGTAGTATTTTCACTCGTTCTTATTACTTTCGATCGTCAAATTGCTGTCGAGTAACATACTTAAATTTGCGGACGAATTTACTCTGTATCGAGAAACATAAACCGGCCCCAGATTTTTCTTTTAGATAATCTTCAACAAACTTCAAGAGATATAAAGAATGCACATAGCGGAACAATCCCCTGCTTTAGTTACGTCTATCTCTAATCTTACTGCCATGTGCCAGCCATGAACTGACCTAAGTGCAATATATGTGGGACTTACGTCAATAAACACATTTTTTTTATCTTTTGAAGGTTGTTTTTTCATATAATTCGGCACCAAGTATGTTAAAATACTAATGGGGGCTTGGCCTTACAGAATCCTGCATACATTTATATAACGACTTTTAGGGTAAAATGCTATATGGTAAGTGGTTGAAAATGTGGTGCGATGCGAACTTTGTTCCATACCATTCGTCTTGAGGCTAAACCCCGCGAGTGTACAAGTTTCATCAAAATGTCATAAAAATTGCGATCTGTAGATTGAACAAAAGAAAGCGAGGCAGACAGACGGACAAGCTTGTATCGATTCGGAAAGTGATTTTCAACCGATCGGTTTAATAAGAAGTTGGTCTATCTCAAGTCGTTGTTGGTGTTGAATACGTATACACAAATTTAATATACCTTTGTACCACAAGTGATTTAGGGCTTATGTGTCACAGTTTATGTATATACTTACACAGCTTGTTTAAATAAACAAATGAAATGAAACGGTAAATAAAGACGATAACAGTTTAATTATTCCCAGGATTCGGTAATGTTGTGTGATGTGAAATAGAGACGACGGCAAAGAAAGAAACAGTAAAGAAAGCGGTACCACAAATTGGAAAAGTTCATAAGCAAGAAGATTTGAATGGGGTACAGCAGATAGAAGCAGAGGAACGTTGTAACCCGTTTTCCCATGAGCGACATACATAGAGAGTTTTCAGTCCTACCTTCAGTGGCTAGTTACCTTAAGCGCAAGAAACTTAGTTCTGGATTCCCTTATATGCTTTCTCTATGGCTACAGCCATAGAGTTAGTTCATCATTAAATTAATAGCGCAACAAACTTAACTCCCGTTCGTAGCCTTTTCTACAGAGCTTTTGCTACTTTATTGCTCAATTAATTACACAAGTTATACGCGCAAACTGCTTCCATTGGACGGAGAGTAACATGAGAGGGTAACATGTCCTCAATATGCATAGTGAAACTGTGTTCCGGATAGTGCAAGGCCAAATTTCGCTGAACTGTATAAGAGAATGTTCAAATCCTCTCAGTGAGGGATTTTGAAACAAACTTCGTACCCTTTAGTTTTTCTCGCTTAAAATTAAAGTCATCTTGGTCAGAAAATCTTTTCAGTTATGGCCGTCATCATGAAAGTGATGTAAATACATGAAGATCCTGTAGAGACAAGTCATTCTTCTGCCTTAGAGCACCTTGTGCTGTTCAATTTTAAATCTGCTCTGCCCATCTATTCTGGAAGGGCTTTGCAACTTGTATGGGCTACAATTTCGTCGTGATGAAATTTCACCTGATCATGTCTTTTGATACATTGCGCACGTTTTGGGTTTAATGACTACCTACGGGTCGTCGTTCACCGTGTCTTACGCGCCAAAGCCAAAGTAAAATTGCAATGTGTCCTCTGAAATAAATAATGAAGACAATGATATCCCATATCGTTCGCAAGCCATCGTCTGATCCGCCTTTGAATGCTAACTTTTCCTGTTACTGCGTAGCATAAACAAACAAACTCTTTAGCAATGCTCTTCTGCGGAAAGGTAAACTTTCCCAAAGATGGCGTTTCCTTCGCACATTGCGCAGTGTTTGGAAAGCTCATGGGGCACGACGTTGTATACATTTAGGGAATACAGGCTTGATTGTCTGCCAACAGATTTAGGTTAGTTCTTTGACATGGAGAAGTCGTGTTACGATAGCAGTTGCTCTTCTTCGGAAGATCCGCTTACTCTTATTGGATTCGGTGGTGAAAGCAAGCAAGGCGAGGAATTTGACAATTGACAGATCGCTCTGTGTGTTTAACGTCTGCACCTGGCTTTATGCCTTAATCAGACGGGTTGCCTACAACCATAGGCACTTAATTGAGTTGAGTGATCACCCCCCTGGGGAAGAGCCAATCCTTTAATAAGGGGGCCTTTCCTTTTTATTAATAGGCCAAAGGGAAGGCCATCCGTCAATTCCTTTTTTGTATCATTAACTCTTCTCTTGAGAAAAATTTTTATTCCGTTACGACTTTATGAACAAAGTCCATCACACACCCGCAGGCATACGTGGCTTTGTGAAGCGAGCCTCCAGACCCCCGTGGTTCCTAGTTTATTTTGCAAAGCCTTTGGCATACTTTGGGCGGTTGTAAAAACAACCGCACTTGCATTCGGATTCTCCATACATCCTAGTAGCCAACACCAAGAACTACTTTTCTTCGAGATATATAGGTCTCGGGTATTGCATTCTTCTACGTACTTAATACCATTCAGAAATTTCCTAGGTAGTAACTAGCTATTGAGTAAAGAGTTCATCTTCCAGCCAACCCCTCCACCGTCTCTCAGAAACTCGTTGCCGAGTTAGTAGCCCAAAACCTTAAACCCTTCTTAGCCGGCCGAAGCCGTTGCCCGGGGGTCACCACTGGGAGGTGAGGGTTTCGGCCGTCTATGCTCCCCATTAAAGCATAGTTTATCTCCCCTTTGACAATTGACAATTGATTTGGGAACAATTTCCTCCTAAATTTTCAGATTAGATCCTGAATGTTGTGCCTGTTGCACGATATGTCTAACTATGAAAGCGGAGCTTGCCCGTAGATGCCTCTAGCAGCACATGTAGATGACACTCGTGTCTGAAGTTGTGCTTTTTTTCAGCTTGGACATCCAATAGCATTAAATAATCTTAGTTCCAACACCTATTGCAAGGCCAATCTATTCTTTCAGGTAATGAAAATATCAAATAGCTGCCGGATTAAAGTAAGTCTTGGAAACGTTTGGTAAATGTTTTTGCGAAATATTGTGTTAAGTATCTATTTATCACATACAAAGTGTGTTGAAAATTTCGTATTCATTTTTTGGCCTGAGTAAGTAAATCGTGTTTAATTTCTACTATTTTGGCGAACTGAAGAATTAGTTAATGAATCTGTGCACTCAATTTCATGGTAAACTTCAAATTATGATACAATGGCAAAATAAATAGCTGGCGTAACGGATAGCGTGTCAAATTGCACTGATGCACTTTCATGCATACGCATATATATCCAGTCGATTGGGAAAATTTGCATATTTCCTCTGTTCGTGAGCTGTTAAAGGGGCAGAAAAAAGCCTAAGAGCAAGAGGACACTTATTCTGTTTGTATCATTCGGAAAGTTTGTAAAGAGGCATAAAATTTGAGGTTCTATCTAAGCCTTGTCTTTTGCCTTTTGCCATATTATATGGCTGGGCCCTCTTGGAATAACAAAATAATAATAAAGAATAATAAAGAATTTTACACACTTCCCTTTTTTGAAAATGCAATAACCAAGTGAAACAAATCTCATGAAAACGGGTTGAATGCGAAAAGTTTAACTGAAACGCCGACAACATTCGAAATGTAAACAAATAATAAGAGAGAGAGAAAAAAAAAAACACAAAAATAAATAACAAAAATATACAATTATCTGATGAACAAATAAAAAAACAACGACAACAACAACAACAATAACGACAAAGAAAGATTAGAAACATTAGGCTTGTTTGTTCACACCGTAAACTCTTCTCATGTAGTCATTCAACGACGGAAAACCGCCACCCCAAAGATTCATTATTAACATGTGAACACAAAACACTATTAATCTTCTGCTCTCTGCGGTATAACGTGTGCATACGCTATATGCTATACGCCGCTACGTTCACAAGCGATAGGAAAACACAAAATAACAATTTTCAAAGAGCTCTTCAGTACGATTTCGTTTGTCAACGGGCGATGTTGCGCATGTGAGCGCCACGCAAATTCATTTAATATAAAAGAATTGATTAACATGCGCGCATGCGTACAGTTTATGTAATAGTTTTGACGTTAATTTGATTTCAATGAAATCATATATCATTTCTTTAATATTATTATTTTAAAAGAATGTGTTTTAAAGTTTATAATTAAAAAAAAAAAAAAAAAAAATTCTGGCAGAGCGGAGCTTAGTAGTCAAATGTGTTATTGTTATGGCCGAGTAGAAGACAAGTATAATATTTTTCAGTTTTAAATATCTATACAATTGTCTAAAAATAATTTCATTCGTAAACGTTAATAAACAAAAGCTAAGATTTTACTTATTACATAAGTCAATCAATTGCTTTTTAATTTTGAAAAGTAAATGCTGTGCATGTGCGAGAGAAAAAGAATTTGTTTTTATATAAACTTGGACATTAATGAATTAATGAATCAATCGGTATTTTCACAATACAACGAATGTGTTTAGAATCTCTTATAAATTAAAAAAAAAAAAAAATTTTTTTTTTTTTTTTTGTTAATTTGCATTTACGGCGTCAGGAGATTGATTAACAATTAAAGTAAACTGAACTTGGATTTAAAAGTATTTGTAATTTTGCTCCAAAACGGTAAGTTTCAATGATATTGTGTAAAAAAAAAAAATAAAAAAAAATAATAAATTCTAAAAGGAATTATAAGGTAATGCATAATGAGGAATGTGTTACGAATTTTCATTCGGTTGAAGGGTAAAAAACTTGTTACCTAAAGCATACAGCAAGGCGCGGGCGCACATGTCAGGTTGGTTGGAGCCTCTTACTATTTTCATATTTGTCGTGTGCACCGCAGGACAAAGTTCTTCACTGTAGGAAACAATTATCGTCTCTTTTTGGGTACATTAAACATGGAAATGGTTTTAAGAGATGCACGTAGCCAAGTAGTTAACTCATTTGCATCATTTGATAGACTAATGCGCAAACAGGAACACCAAGAACGGACTACTGCCGCTTATTAATTGAGCGGATCAGTTTTTCCAAGCAAACCGTGCAATTAGAGCAGTGATGCAAATCACTCAGTGCGGTAAACCATTTTTTAATTACTTTCGGTGTGTGGTCACTCGCTAAAGTGAATCCTCGATCGGTAAAAGCACAACATTTATCGATCAGGCACACATGTGCAGGGCTGCGGTCTTCCCTATCTGTATCTCCCCGCTGCTAGCTGAATTGCCAGTTACGCCTGCTCTTCGTTCGTTGAAGAGAATTAAGAACCAGTTATGTCGACGGCATGCACTACGCACTGAGGTGCCTTAACATTTTAGTCTTTCTCCTGTTACCTCGACGGAAGGCAGTAATTTTGCTTCATAGGTTCGCAATGATATCGTTATCATCCCTTCGATGGTTTCATCTCCGTTTCAATGCCATGGTTTCCTAAAAGCGATTTACAATCAATAAACTTACAAAAACTAGTTCGCATATGAATTTATTATATTTTCAACTCTTTCACTTCTGCTTCACCTTCTTGCTGCGTTTCTATTTCTTATTGTCGAAGGAATTTTTTCCCAAGAAATTTAACAACGTGACAGCGTGACAACGTGTAACGATATAAATTAATTGAAATACTTGAAAAGACCGAAACTTGAAAGGAATACAAAGCAAACGTTATGACATAACCTAAAAAAAAAAAAACCAAAACCAACAATTAAGACGTTCTATACCTTTGGGTATAGAATTGTATTGTGATATATGGGCAGTCCGTACCACGAACTGATAGGCGCATTGTACCTTTATTTACAGTATGTGGTATAGCAAGGGAGAAACTTAATTCGGCCTAAAAGGAATTTTTTACGCTTAGTTATAGTCTGCGATGAAACATATAAATAACATTTATCTTGTTCATATAATCTTCCTTCACCTCTATCCTTGAATATTTTCTGTTCGAAAGTCCCTGTCCTGCTGCATCTCTTATAGACGGAATGCCACGTTTTACACATTACGTGTTTGTAAAGTGACGGAGAGAACGGCAACAAAAGTTATAATTCTTCACTGGCGCTTTTTTAAATAATTTTAAATAAATTAGAAATCAAGCGGCCATACATTAGGCTGCATGTTCCCAACAGAAGTTCACTTGACACACAAGCATTCTTTTAGCTTCGTTAGGGGGAATAGCTCGAATATTCTAGGACGACATTTTTTCATTTAATGAATTTTCTCCATACAGATGCCAAGAAGGTTCAAAGCATCTGCTAAGTTAAAAAAAAATTCTTTTCTGGAAAATGTACAGTGATGTTTCCTCATAAACTGTATTTGTACGCAATTTTTTCCACAGTCTCTATTAACATCCGGAACAGTAGGCGAATATGTAAGAGTCGCGACCAGCAAGTCAGTTTTCGCGAGTTCAAGTGCGGTAGAGTTTACTTTGGATGTCGCTGTAGGAAGTGCTCAATTGATTGGGCCCGCACTCACTAAGATCTGGCCACCACCTGCCCATCACTTTTCTTTCTGCCTCTTTCAGACCGGCGAAAAAAAAGATATATACTCAGATAAAAAATAAGTACAAACACGGGAAACGCGGCGTACCATTAAATATCCTACGACACCGTTCTTAATACGTAGTAATGTAGTTATTCATGTACCGACTTCCCAAGGTAAGCATTTGTATTGGAAGTGATAGCATTCATGTTTGGGTCAAGACAATTTCATCAAAATATCTTAAAATAGAGGCCAATGGGTTCACCATAAGAAAAGAAGGTGGACAGAAGGACTGACAAGCGCAGATCGATTCAGAAAGTTGACTCTGAGTGGCTCGGCATAATGAAAACTTGGTCTATCTCAAGTTCTTCTGGACGTCGCATATAAATACTTATATTTAAAACCATAAATACAAATACAAGTACAAGGGTATAATGAGTCCAATGTGTCCAAAAAGTAAGACCAATTGGATTTTTTCTTTTTAAATCTGTTTATTATTTCAAATCTGATCCACCAGAGTGGCCGCAGGCAAAGAATCTCGACTAGCAACTCAATTGTCAGTCGTGGGCTCAAATCTCAAGTGCGGTACAGTTTCTAATAAAGCCGATAGATAGTCTTAGACGCTAGTGACTTTAGTCTTAGAATTTACTTCTCTGGCTAAATTAATACTAACATAATAAAATAATAATAATATTTCAAATCTGTCTCGTCGCCTTCAAAAGTAAACCCTTCAAACTGATATAACAATGCCTTTTAAGAGCTTGGCTCGGCGCAAGGAATTCATCGAAGAAAACTGTTAACATCACATTGACGTGGTTTTTGCGGTCTTGGCTCATCTTTTGCACGATATTTGCTCGGTTGAGCCTATGTGTAGATCTGAATCTCATCTCCCGCAATAATGTGCTTCACCACTAATTGATTGTCGGAAATCATCTCCTCACCCACATTATAAAAATAAAAAAAATGCACTTATGATGTGGAATTTGATGCAAATGTCTGTCAATAGTGCTATCAATTTAGAAAAGAAAGGAATATTTTTAATATCCGATAAAGACGCGCCAGTCCAACTTGAATATTGGTCTTACTTTTTTATCATAGCATTAGAAGAGAACTTGTTTGTAATCATTATAATTTATTTATAAGAAGAAGAAGAAGAAGAAGAAGACAAAAAAAGAAAGTGCTCATCCTACTTCCATAGTTCTCGAAATTATTTCTTTACATTTTTAATGGTTAAAAATTTTGTTTTTGAGGTTTTTCAACTAATGCCGCCTATGCTTTTCAATGCGAATTATGATCACCACGAAGCGTGCATGTTCTCTACGCTTCACTTTTCTCTTCCGTAAATTCTTTTGTATTCGCGAACGAACGAACGAACGAACGAACGAACGACTGTTCATTAAAACAAAAGTGAATTAGAAAAATAATCGTTTCAAATTTTTCAATAACCTATTTTTAGAGCTTCTTCTTCTTCTTCTTCTTCTTGATATGAATTATTAATTTTATAATAGAATGAATATTTGATATTTTCAATAGTTTCTACATTTTCTTTTTTTAATTCTTTATTATTATTATAATATGTCTTTGTTATTTAGATATAAATTATATTAAAAGAAATTTATATGCGATTTCTCCTCAATGCACATAAGCTATTTTGGAAGAAGTAAATGTATGCAAAAGACGTAAAGACGTATTTATTGGAAGAAAAAAAATAAAGAAACCTGTTGTCGAATTCATTCAGATTAAATCATTTTTAACGGATATGTCAATTTCGAAATATGACAACAGCCGACTGGAGTATAGCAGATTTAATGCACATGGAATTCTCTCTTAAGTCAAATTATGACTTTTGTTGTTTTCGCCGTTCTGTTGTGCAGTTGAAAGCCTTCAAATTATGTTTATTTTATTGAATTTGGTTGTGGAGGCACACACACATACACACACACACATAAGAGACAAAAACACTTTCGCTTCATTTAATAAAATTAGACCAAACCTTAATAGGCGTTGGACGTTCGCAACAAAATTTAATTAATGAATAAAAATAAAAAAAAAAAATAAACAAAAAATTGGAAAACATTTTCTGTTTTTTTTTTGTCTGTTTTTTTTTCTTGCAGCCAAGCTTGCAGCCAAGCTTACAACTGCTTATAAACACAAGTTACATAAGATCGTTTTGTAAGTGAAACTAAGCAATTATTACTTAGTCGATTAAATAAATAGCTTCAATTACTTTTTTTTCTCGCTAATAATAATAATAAATTGAATATTCACACAATCTTTGTATTTTATTAATCGATCAAAAGATTTTATGTAAATTTTATTTAGTTTCAAAACATTGAATGGAGAAGAAATAGCGATCCATTAAAATTTCCGAGCTTCGATTTAAATGATTTCTGTAATAGATCTTTACATTAAAAGCGAAAGCGATAGTTTAAATTTAGTGTATAGATGTTTTGAAAAGAAAGTCTTGCAGTGAAACGTTAACGAATTGTATGAAAGAAAGTTTTCCAAAAAAGGGTTTGTTAAAAGAATTTCTTCCCAGCCATGCTTTTTTATACGATTATGCGTGTAAGAGCTTGGGAGGCTTAAGATTTTCGCATGCGTGGAATTCGTGGAATGTGTAGACATCACACACTCTTCTGCATTATGATATGAAAATGACTCTGTGAAGAGAATTCTTTCTTTCTCTGTTTTGTTCGTTACTCTACTACAAGTTCACTGCAAAAAAAATTTCTTTATATCATTTATTTGCCACTTATTGTGACTGTCTATGCGTTATGTAAATAAATCTACAAAGTATGGACTTGAAGGCTGCCGGATAACTTGGATCGTATGCTAGCGTGTAATGAAAATTCTTTTGCACTTGAGATTTGAACCCGCTACCTTTGACTTGCCAGCCGCGATCATTTGTGTGCTCCGCTACCCGTGCGGTTTGTATAATTCGTTTATCACTTTTTAGTGCTCATCCTACTTTTACTTTATTACAACTTGTATGGTACTCTTTAATCTTAATTATTTGATACCCACACACACATATTAAGGGGAAAAGCGCTATAACTTCGTAGCGTCCCCAATATATGATATAGAAAGCGCTCTCGCTTATTCACTTGGCGTATTCTACGCCCCTAGCCCTCGTATTTCATACCTTTATTAGGGGCATGTTCTCA